TTCTCTGTAGAGATAACCTGGCACATAACATACCATGGACATTCTCTCGAAATTAACCTCCTCGGACCCAGGGGCTTAATTTGAGTTAGAATTTCCGCGAGCCAAGGGCATATCTATTATTGCAATGTAATCCATTACTGCACGAAATAATTTTTTAACTCCAAAAATCTATGTAACTTATTGTGAAGTGGAGCGTGCTACAAACAATAATTATTTCGTAAAACATGTAAAGAATTGACTAAGACTTACATTTATAAAATACAAACATATATCCGTAGTTCAAAAATAATTATTTTTCATGAAAACGTTTAAAAATTTATTTCTGTTAAGGCGGCACAGGAACACTTAACTTACTTATGAACAAATGAAGCGACATTTGGAGCTGTCGCCCGGATCATTCGGCGGAAATATCAAAAGCTGTAGCTTTACATTGTTTGGAATTTCCGACAAATGATCCGGTTTTCTTTTATATAGGCTGACGGCAAGTAAATTAGTTAAATTTTTTATTCTTGGAAACCATGTCTCAAATGTTAAGTGACTTTTTTTAGCACTGAAAAGGAGGACTAATTAATTTAAGAAAAAGTACAACGTAAATAAATGAAACATTTTATTAAATCAAACAGAAAATCACTAATTATGCTTTAATCTCTTTGATTTTTAAATTAAACGAGTATTCTTCCTTTCAATCATTGAACGCCGGCGATTTGTGAGGACGTGTATCTGAATTTTAAGAAGAAAGGAAAAGGGGGCTTTTCCGAATTAGGTAGAAGTGTCTGAACATTTTTCATAAAACAAAATGATTTCGTGGATTTCGATTCCCGTGGGAGCAAAGTAATTTTCTTTTAATAAAAAGTGAAATTACAAATTCGCAAAAAAGTTTTAAAATATCCATTTCCTACTACTGATGTATTATAGAGTAATCTTAAAATTGATTTAGATTAGATTAATATCTTAATAATTTTTAACGCAAAAAGTTAATAATCAGTCGGCATCTATAGCTGAACCACAATTTGAACCTTTGATAATCAACCACAGAGGGAATATTTATTAATACATCTTTTATTGTCGTAAACATTTTTACAAACCCATTTTACGAAAAAATGCATATTAAAATGGAAATATTACGTCTATGTTCTACCGTTCGTACTTCCTGCGCATGTGACCGTGATCAACATTGACTTCTTCCAGCAATATCTTGCTCATACTTCAATCCAATTCTAGTCCCAGCAACAGCTGACAATATCTTTCCGAGGATGGGAACACAATAGTTTACATTACGACCGGAATATCTAGCAAAAAATATTGCAAATATTAGAAATATTTATTGCCGCAATGTTGCATTGGCAACTTTTCTTGCGAGTGTTAAGCCAGCTTAGGGCCGGTTTCACCAACAGCCGAGTAAAGTTGAGAGTAGTTACCCGAGAGTAACCATTTACTCCAAAATAGTAACTCTCGAGTAGAATGAGCGTTTCACCATGCTTCTAGAGGGTTATTTTACTCTAGAGTACATACTCTCCTATTTACTCCGCAAATCAGCTGAACACACAATATTTGAGAGTGATTCAAGAGGCTGTGAGCGAGAATGACGCCAAGGCGGACCAACGCGTACCCTTGATTAATTCCTTATATTCTATATTTCATTTCAGTTTCGGAGTTCTTGACGTTATAATCTGGTGTGGTGTTATGGTGGTTTGAGTTAGCATAGTTTATTTCCTAGTTTCTGTATCTTTATTTCTTAATAAATATTCATTCTTCTTCTCTGGAGACCAGTTACTATTTTGTTAGCAATGCAGAAAAATCAAATGTGCAGTTCGTTTACCGATGGCGGTTCAAATTAATTTTCTATAACTAGGGAACGAAAATGTTTAGTTTCTCAAATGTTGCTGATCTCGCGTTTTTCTAAATTTTATTACTATTTATTGTTTTATTATTTTAACTTTTATTCGCCTTTCAACTATTTGTAGTGAAAATGTTGGAAAGGGATTCTGGAACTCAAGAAAACGTGGGCAAATGATCCCCCCATACGTCACATACAGTTTTTACTGAATAAATAAATGAATATTTCTTAGTACTTGTAGTTCCTGTAATTATTATTTTTCCTTTTGTTGTCGTATTCGGTACGTACTACCTTTATTTCGTATCCACATGGGAGAAAAATAACTTTAGAAGTTCTCTACAGTTTACAATGTATCTGATGAAGTTAAACAGCTGATTTGGTCGAACGTAACCTCATGACAAAATCTCGATCGTCATAATTAAAACCAATCCATTCTCTCTCGTACCCTTTGTTTTCGCACTAGTGGATAATATTCCGAATCATTGCTGGAATCGTCTACAAATACTATCATTCGTAATCGTCGAACCGTAACAACACTTCGGAGGTACATGCACGTTGAAAACTGAATTTACTCCGTACTTTACCCGACGGATTTTCGCGGTGTAAAGTTACTCTCGAATTTACTCTCGTGTAAGCGATTTACACTCGAGTAAAGTGTTGGTGAAACGCTCCAAGAAGTTACTCTCGAGTAAACATGATTTTCTGCAGAGTAAACTCTTACTCTTTGTTTGGTGAAACCGGCCCTTTATACTGAATTCAGAAGTACTACTGCTACTCAAAAATCCGGCACCGAAGATTGTGCCGCAGGAACAGGTTAAAAAAGTTGCGAAGGTTTAATCATTTTCAACTTAATCTTCATTGTCCCAATACTAGATTTCTTCTTAACCGTGGGGAAAATGCATGAAAGGAGTTGTGTATATCCTATCATTAACATCGTCGATGAGCTCCGAAATATCCGACTCATTGTTGATGAGATCTAATATTCTTTTGTATTTACCTGTAATAATATGATTGACCTTCCTATTAAAAATGTCGACAAAAATTGAGACCCATTGTAATCCAGAAGATACATCATTACAAATACTTGATTTGGCCTAATAACGGAAATTGAAAAAAATAAACAATGTATACTTCCGTAAAATTAACTTAACCTGTAAAATAACAGATTAATTAGAATATTTATACATTTTTTTATTTACATAAACTGCGGCGCATCGATCTTTTCGTGTCAATCGCAGAGATGCAATGGTGACAACAGTTCTTAAAAAATCGGCGAATATTTAATCTAGGATAGGAAAAACTTTTAACAATGCTACAGAAATACGCAAAACTGTCCCCATTGTTTGAAACGAAAAAGCTATGTAATGTACTAGAAGTTACAGGGGGTCCAAGGAGGTTAAATGTTATTATCATGACAAACGGGTTGGGGATACTTTTCTTTCACTGATTTAAAAGAACTTGAATAAAATCTGAAAATAAAATTTTATGTTGTGAGGGATGATGATGAAGAACAAAGAAAAAAATAAAGGAATAATAAATTTTACTCTTAAAACTTGAGAAATCACATTATTAACAACAAATATATTTAAATAACTGAATATTTTGGCCACAATTCTTTTCTTTTATTTAATTAATAAGGCTCTTATTCACATTTAAAACTTTTTATTAACATCATGAATTTAGCAGCATTAAAAATAATGTCCTAGGAATTTGTTCTTTCTCTTGAAATGACAAATATACAGGCGTTCCTTTCAGCTATTGTTAAATATAAATGCATAATATATTCTATAAAATCAGCTGATAATACAGCTCCTTAATTTGAATCAGAAGGGTACAAGATTAAAGAACAGAATTTTATAATTCTAACATTTTTGTGGCACATAAATCAAACATAACTATTCCTTTTATATACCATACAAAACAACCATATCATCAAATTACAGCTGTCCTTGTGCTTATTAAAAAGAGCAATTTGGGCTGTTCCAAGAAAGAAAGAAAAAACAAACAAAAAAACAACACCACACATTCACAATTTATATGCTTGCATTTTAAACATTAAGTGAGTATAGTTTTATAAGATATAGAAAAGGTATTGAAGGAAGGTCCTGTTTAATAATTCTTCCATAGAACAATCAATTATAAATCACATATACATTAAAGTATGGCATTTCACCAAGATCAGATTCTTAGCAGAAATATTGTGTTTTAGCACAAATTGGAAAAATGTTTATTTTAAATATGGCCTGATTACTACTCTATGTGAGGGTTTTTATTTTGGCTCCTTAAAATACATTATTTACTACCAGCTCTAACCAAGGATATCTAATTGTTTGCTTCCATGCCTACAATATTTTAATAAAAATAATTTCTTTTCCAAAATAGGACTCCAGAATCTTGTACTTACAGCTTTAAGGAAGTTTATCATACAGAATGAGCAAATATTTTGAAGCAGTACTCTTAAATTTCCTCTCCACATTACCACAAACATCCAAAAATAATTAGTTAATTAAATCTGAACACAATGCTTAATACAGACTAAAATACTTTTCTACCACATAACATCAGCAAAAAATAAAATTTTATTTAAATGTGGCTGTAGTAGACATAATAAAAAGCCTATTTGATCCCTGCAAGCCACATATTTGGTAAATCATGACACAATGTTCGTAATGCTTGATGATACATATCACTATTTAAACTAAGGTGATTCTGATGATGATGATGATGATGATGATGATGATAATAATAATAATAATAATAATAATAATAATAATAATAATAATAAAAACTCTTAAGAGAGGCTTATTTCTAGGATGCTAATTTTCACACTGAAGATAATTAATTTTTCATATATACAAAGGCACAATTAATGACAAAATCACAGGCATATACACAATAATAAAATTAAATTATCATACTCTTGGATGGAATAGGTACATTGACAATACTTAAAACTTAACAGTTTATCTACATTTTGCAATGATACATAATAGGCCTGTGAATAACATCATCCAAAACCATATCAAAGAGTATTCAATATGCATATCTTACACAAAGTCATTTTCAGGATTTGAAAAATGCAGTGATTTCCACCTTGGTTAATATTTATTCTGTTACATCTTATACTTGAAGTATATTCTATTAATTTGAACTCCATTAATATTTTATATACTTATTTATTAGGGAACAGATAGAGGCAGTATGTAATGACATATTTTATATAATACAATTTTGCCAAATTCGCTATTACAGAAAGATTTAAAATTTAAATGCGTCTTTGTCTCTGAGTAGTCTTTCTGATTACTGCTCTGTTACTACACATCTCTTATGTAAACCGAAACAGAACATTCCAAATACATCAACTAACACTTTCAAACATGAATTTCATTTCTATGAACTTTTGATTTTTTTTTTTTCTGGAGACAATGTACCCAAGTTAAATGTTCATCTTAAATACTTCGATCTACTCTTCGATCTTCTTAGCTTCCAATACCCCCTATTTTTTAAATATCTTTCTAGTAGTAAGATAAACTCCAAACAACAACTAACAAATCAATTCTGAAGTAATTTTGACTGATATGAACATGTCACTGACTGTAATATTATGAAAACCAATCTCAATTCAATAGGCAAGAATTTACTAGTAGGTTATCAAGGGAACGAAAGCCAAATTGGTTTAAGTCATGAAGGTTAAACTAATTGTAATTTACGACTCTACTGCATTATTTTCAAAACATGACTTACATTACTTTGGTTGTAACATCCTCAAGTAACGATTAATGTGTATTATTTGTAACCAGAAAATCAAATACTAATTTATGATATATAGGTAATGTAACCAAAAATTCAAATCATCTAACATTTCTTACTCAGGTAATTGGACTTTCACATGTCTGATTTCATGATAACAAGTATCCCCCAAAACCAACACAATGCCACAAAGTGAAGGGTACATATCCTAGAAGGTGAACAAAAAATCAAAGATCAAACATGCTATGTGACTGAATACATAGATCAGCAACAAAGACAAATACACCATTACCAGTTTAAACTTGACTACAGTGCAGCAGAAACTAACCATTTGAATAAAAAAGTATAAGAAAGAAACATTCAGTGGTTAAAAAAGTACTGATCTGACAATAAGATTCTTGAAAATGATACATTCTCACAATCTAATACTGATAGTTTTTAAAATTAATTAAGTTATTCAAAATATTTTCAAGATACATCAGTGTTACAAAATGTATTTAATAAACAATTAAAATAACCTAGGATATAAAAAATTGTTTTACAACAAACAATGCATCAGAGCGAAAAATAATCTACTCTAAAAATCAAAGATTTTTTTAAGCACAAATCTTTATATCCTATTCTGCAGTAAAGAAATTAAATACATAAAACTGGTGAGGACAAATCAGATTTGTGAACCAGCCCCTTATTTACACATGCTCCAAGAATCATGATTTTCATTGTTTTATAAGTTTTACAATTGAACATTTTACAAGATGGAGATCACAGCTCAAAATTCTTATGATATTATCACATCTGACAGGCATTTGAAAAATGACTGTGCGTAAAACAGGGATTTACAACACATGAAAACACTATATAGCACCACGAAAATCAGGCACTGCAATATTATATGAGCAGTTCTAATTAATGCACAAAGCATGTGGATAGTTGTAAAATATGTTTGCTACTAATAATGTATTCACTAGCAAGAGATAAGCAATAACTGAAATGCCCTTGTCTAAATTTTCCTAATATTTACAATATGGAATTGGAAGTTTCTTGGAGAATCCTTTATAAAGAAGAAGCAAAGATATGAAACAAATCAGCATACATGAATACAAAATTTTAGTATATTTAAGAATGAGCATTCTGATTATTCCTTGTGCACAGACGTCAGCCTTATTGTATTTGATTGGTATCTTTCACTCGGAGGGGAAAATATTTTTTGAACCCCGTATGCGAGACAAACATATTACACAAAATGCAAAGATGCAAACCCATATCACTCTACAGATTTGTTTTTGATCAACCAAAAGAGTATGGAATATTGAAAGAAAAGGGGAAAAAATATCAAGGGAGTATATATTGGATCAATGATAAAAACAGATTTGGCTTGTAACAGGCTCAATACAGCACTGAAAAATGGAACTTAATACTTCTATTTCAACACAGCAAATTCCACTCAACATATAAATTAGAGGCTTTCTTATGATCTAATGCTAGTAGTAGCAGAGCTCCAATTCTGGTTAATCAAAAAGTACTTCCTCTGCTACTGGTACTCATCCTGAGAACAAGATAATTTACCTACTTCACATGAAAAATACGTAATTTGTAAGTTGTTCATTTTAGTGATGCTACTAAAGGACTTGTTAATTTTCTAGTATGATAAGCTACGCTTTGTCATCAAAGAAAGCATAGGCCTATCATGATACAAAATTGAAGATAAAGTTAACAAAGGATCCAGATTCTCAGAAATGAACTTAAATTGCCATAATCTAAGTTCCACAGAATTATCAAATCAGATGTAAAGGGTAGAACTAACAAAAAATGCAATAAAACTTGATACTTTGAACATACTGTGAAATTACCGCTTCAAATTCACTAGCATTGTGTAATAGCAACATAAAAACACTCGTTTGAGATGTACTGGACTATCTTATGTTAGAAATAGGAATTAATGTAACTTGTCTGTCACAAAGTTTTACATATATAAACAACAAATAATATAAAATACTGGGTTGAAAAATATTATCTGCCCCTCCTCCTATTCTCTTCTTTTCCTACGATTATTTTTGACAACTTTTATTACCAGTATGGAAGTGTTAAATAATTGTGAACAAATCAAATATGCACAAGTATTTTTGAACTTACACAATGAACTGATTCACATGTTTTGTGCATTGTAATTGTAAATTTGAAAACAAGGAGTTAATTTAGCAATACATTTAGTTCAGAGTTGTAGAACTAGTGAAATACTTTTCATAGTAAGCATAAAATAAATAAATTGCTAAGTCTAAAGCCGTTATAGTGAAGATTGCCCTTCAGAACAGTTGTAATAAATTAAAGCTCAATACACTAGGAAGTTCCGAAACATTTCCTAAATTGAAAGAAATTATAATTTATTAAAACAATATTATTAACTTTAATATTTCTTTCATTCTTTAATTTCTTTTGCTCAAACATTTTGAGGGAATATAAATTGATAAACATCATGCTGGCCATAAACAATACAAGGTGAAATTATCAGTCTTTCTTTTCCTTTTCTTTCATCACTAAACCTCACATATATAATACACTCAAAAATATTCCAGTGCATAGTATCTGATCAGATAGGTCAGAAATAATATGTATATGTCCATCAGGTTAACCATGTTGATCTGAGCCATCTGGTCGTTTACTATGCCTATCTCATTTTCACACATTTTAAATGCTGAATATATCGATTTTTCAATATGCAACCAAGCTTCGCTACATAAATACAACTATACAGCAGTTACTATAATATTTCGAAGAAATGACTTCAACCTTCAATAGAAAATACATATCCAAGTTGAATAAGGTATTAAAATATTCTAAAGCAAAGATCTAAAAAAATAAAAAAGAATCATTCAATGGGAAGAGTCAAACTATATTTGAGAGTGTAAACAATTGCTCTGCCTTCTTTATAATAAACAATTTTGAAGTATTCAGATACATTCTGCTTCATTTGAAATGGCAAAAGATGAGAGTGTAATTTATGGACATATTTATTTTATTAAGAAAATATGGATAGCTCACTTTTCTCTGAATTCTGATGAAACGATACAGAATTAGATCACAAACATGGATCGAATTGCATAAAAGTTTTTAAAGTTAAATCCTGAGTTAAAGAATCTCCATTCCACATTATATTAACTATTGCACATTTGCACCTTTGGCAGTGTCAGTGTTCATAGACTGTTCTTCCTTGATTGACTTACTTAGTGGGTCATAAGCTGCACACAACTATGAGTTACTTACTGCAAATAATTGAAGACATTAAGTTAATATGATCAAGAAGAGGGCAATCTGCTGATAGAAGCAGAATTTACTGCTGTTGTATTCTAACACCCCTAACATTTTACTGATACATGTATGTTGAAGGTTTAATCTACAAATATGCTTAATCAATTAAGTTTTCAATAAACTTTTACACCACTATTATTACCAGCAAATATAATAACAAGCTGAGTTTTAAAATTATGTGAGAGTCAGATAAAAGTACTAAAATCAACCAACAAAAACATTTTAATGGTACTTTCAGATATAAATTTTTTCATATAAAACATGTTGCATAACACAAGAAATTACAGCTAAATTGCAGGCTTTGATATGAAAATATTTGGACTGCAAGGTTCTTCACAGATTATTAATATACCAAGAAAATTGTTCAACTTCAAGTTTATAAAGGATTGATACGCAAATAGCTTTGAAAAATATATAGATTTTTAAAACATTAATTCAACAATAATAATTATATCCAACATGAAATTTGAAGATGAAGCAGCATAAGTAAAATAAATAAACACGTTTTTTCGTTCTTTATCCAGTTCCGTATATGCTGGAAAACATTTTAATTACTTCAAAAGTGCATGTTGTGTACTATTGCTTATGACCAGTACTGAAAATTATTACATAACAAAATTATAACAAATATTTCCAGCAACTATTTTATGGCAAAAGAATCTATTTTTAGTTATTCACATTACATTTTACCTAGCAGATTTACTGTGATTCCATCATTAAGAGATCTTTGGTATCCAAACATAATTAATTAACACTTTTGAATTGTTATAAAAATATGGAACACTATAAATATACAAAGAGATAAAGAGGGGCGGGGGGGTGATTAAAAGGAAATTTAATAAAATTTAAGGCAAAGCAATACACTCACAAAAGCAATGATCTCTGTTATGTATCTTCAGCACCATAATAATTGTCTCCCAAAATATTGTAGTATTAGTAACTCAAAAACAGTATTACGATAATCTCAAAATATTGGATTCTTTCAATATTACTATAATTCCATTCAAAGTAACAGGAGCTCAATCGTCATCACAATAGTATAATAATAATAATAATAATAATAATAATAATAATAATAATAATAATAATAATAATAACAACATAAATTAATAACAACAGGAATGCAAAGTTTGTGCAGCTCAACATAAGCTATCGAAAAAATTCATTAGGAGATTGCTTGAAATGCACATGAAACGTACATATAGTAAGTATATATATAGCTGTTTTACATTAAACATCATAAGTACGAACAGAGAGATTATTTGTAAAAAAATTGAGTTAAAGCAATCCTAACAATAACAATGATGTATGTAAGTACACAAACATTTCCATTTTTATACAATAATTATGTTTTACAATTACCATTGATATAAATGATAAATTCTGTGGGAGAAAAAAAAACCCATTCAATTTGTTATCCAGCATATAACTTGTAAACTTACAAACTGAATTAGCTGCTAGAAACGTTTAAATGAAATCCTAATTTCAAAGGCTTCTTACAAATACAATACTTACTAGTTTTAAACAGGGGATCAAACTTTTTTTGTACACATATAATAAAAAATTTATTATTAATCATTTTAAAACTAGTTTTTACCAAGCTATAAAACAACCAAATGAGGGGAGCTAAACAGAAATGAATAAAATATAGGGTGCTCAATTTGGTGAAGAATAAACATAGTAACAGTTACAAAATAACATTTTTAATATTTCAAATTATTCTACATAAGGGGTAGATACATGATAAGCCGCCCAGCAACAACAACCTTCCCAGTGTTTAGTATTTCAATTTTGGCCAAAATGAAAATGTGAGTGCCCCCAAGCAATTGCCACCATTTCACCAAAATTAAGCTATTAGCATTGATGAATAGAGGGAAGCTTGGTGTGACTGGCATGGCTTTATTTTGTTGCTGCCCCAAGCCCTTGATATCTCAACTATGAAATGGGTTATTATTTTCAAGTTATATGCAGGAAACTATTTTCTCTCTACTCATACATGAAATTAAAGATATGCAATACAATAATCAAATGAAGGCCAAAAATTGTAAATTTTCACACAGCTATACACAAATCACATTATCACTATCAGTTTAAGTATGTAATACATTTACAGTTTAATGAACATCTTGCAGTCCAAATGAAATTTCATTCCATTTTTCAAAAATGCAAGTAACCTTTTGTCATACAACACTGAACAATGAACTAGAAAAGAATAACAATGCACACAAAACCGCCACGAGGGGAAGAAATTGCACTGTACAGTCATCACATTCTTGCCAATACATACTTTGCACTACTGAATGTACATGGGTCACATTAAATATTACAAATGCATTTGTTTTGTTCCTTTGCCATGGACTATTACCTAACACCAGAGCCCGAGCCAGAATAATCACAAGCCTTCATAATTGCATAGAATTCCTTCTAATATACAAAAGTTGAAAATGTGCAACAAATGTTAGAGATTTTTACAAATCTCTAGTGATTCCTTTAGAATTGTCATGAGATTTGGCAATCACACAAAGCAACTTTTGGAGTCAGCATGTACAACTGCAACAACAAAACTAACAAATATGTGTAAAACTAAATATTAAAATTGAAATGTGGAAGGACTGGGATAATTTGTAAGCTAATTTACACTGTTTCAAGTCAGGTGAGCAACAATGTCTGTAACACACACTGAAACTTACTATTGCTCACCTGACTTCGAGCAGTTTGAACCGAATACCGGAAGTTGTTCACCAACATAAACAAAATTATAATTACATCAAGGACCAAGGGAAGGCATCTGAAGACCATCTAAAATATTAAATCAAGACTAACAGACGAGTAAGTAAATAATATAATGTAAATGTTTATATTCTCACTGTTCTTGATTTCCAGTACACTTTCTCTAATTTAGACCCTCACAAAATGAAAAAAATAGGCCAATATTTTCTTGCAGCAATGGTGAGAATTCCCTACATAGTACATTCCTCTTTTATATAGATATCTAGATTTACTAGAATGATGTATCATATTACATCCAGATCCACATTGAGTAACAGAAGTAAAGTTAGTTTTCATTATTGGAAAAGAAATAATGTCCTACATTTCACCACCTTCATCCACAAGCAAAAATTGTCTATTCTACACCTTCTTCTTTCTCTTCTTCCAGTATTCAGAGTATTTCGCTATACTTCTCAATTCAAATGCCACTTATGTTCCCAGTTTTTAAGCAACACAATTTTTTCTTCTCTTTACTCAACAGTGCTGAAAACTTTTTCAACAGTGTTGAAAATGAGAAAATATTGGAATAAAATTTAAACACATTATAAACATGGTGCCGGATCCTTACATAGACATGCAAGTAACAGTAGCATTTCCCTAAAGAATTAGTCTAATAGTAAGTAGTTATAATGGCAACGGGCATCAGAAGCAATCTCTGTTTGGTCCTTGTATTGTTAGTCACATTGAATTAGTAACTTAAAGGGCAAAATTTACACAAATCTTGTGTATTGTTGTTGCAAAATTGATTGAAATTAGTAATGGAGACTGGAGCTACGGGGTCATCTTTTTTAAACCCCGTTTTGACAAAGAAAATAAAAGAATTTTAATGAAATTACAGGTGTGAATTTTACATACATTTAAATTGTATTGCCTGCAGATTAGGTGCCCACATTCCAATGGAGTCACTGATGTTTTATGAGACTATATAAAACAAATGTTTATCACAAAGTAAAGCTTTGATCACTTGTTGCATAAGACACAATGTAACATTTCCTTCATCATGCGCAAAGTATAAGCAACTAATACTTTAGAAAAACAAGCAATGAAACTTCAACTACCTTTCACATAGAGATTGACAAAGAACGGACAAAACAAGTTGTGACCCAAGCACAAACAATTAATCACAGATATGTTAAAAAAAATAGCTACCAGTGATTTCAGCTATTAGCTACAACTGTTTTCACTGGCAGATTAATTCTTGTTAACCAGTCAGAGGTCTTAAATCAACACGCACCTTTTCCTCAACACTCAACATTCCTATTGTAGGAAAGAATCCTCCTTTAGGAATACGAACTTGTCTGACTCCAATGGTTTCACCATTTCGTGTGAAGAAAACCTGAAAAAAGTTTTTTTTAAATGAAAACTGGTTTCTTTATAAGTATTGATATTTTATTAATAAATTATCAAAAAACAAAGCTATAAGATTTGCAGTTTGTTTTAAGAAACACATAAATGTAAATGAGCTTAAACTTAAGACTTAACTATTTTCATGGAACACAGCAGTTGCACTGAAGGGTATCAGATCACTTTTATTTATATACCAAGTCATTTTTTAGTACAACTTGTCTTAAATAAATTGCATCAACACAGTTAAATATTGATTAACATTAAAATTACTTCAAAATGACCATTTCAGTCTTGTGTTGTTCTCATAATTAAGTGAATCAATCTATAAATAAACTTCTCAGTCAGTACATATGATGACTAATTGAGATGTGAGAGTGTAGGCTTCCGTGGCTGGAATCAGTATTTATTAGGCTGTCCGGGTGGCGCCGCGTCCATGGTGAAGGTGCCAACATTTCGGTTGCCATTCTGCGACCTTCCTCCGTGTGTAATGCTCCTCAGATCGCAGAATGGCGACCGAAACGTAGGCACCTACGCAAAGGACGCGGCACCACCTGGACAGCCTAGTAAATACTAATCGAGATGGTTTACAGGGATATTTTAGCGACAACAAAATATGTTCTCATTACTCATTTCCAAAGTGTGCAGAAATTTAAAGAAAGCAGTAACTCACAAAAAATACAAATATTTGATTGTAATATTCTCACCGTTCTCATACTATATGTACAACTGAATTCTCATGCTCAATTTGTCTCTGATTTTAACACAACTGATGTCATGTGACAGCCAAGTTTCAAGGAAGAGGCATCCGCCATTAAATATTTGCTATTTATGTGTTGAGTTATAGAACAGCAATTTTTTGATTTTCTTAGTATAGGCCATACACACAGAACTTGCCATATTAAAAAACAGATTCCAATGGCTTAGTGGAAAAAAAAAAAAAAAGGGTACATTTACACAGTAAAAAACATCTGCACCAAAGAAACTGAATTTAAACTGGGTTCTGAAAACATATTGCAGGTTTCTATAAAGTTTGGAAAACTGCATTGAAACAGTTTTCCCTTGAGTGACTATTAATTTTACATTACAATACAAAATTGAAAATCTGATTTTAAACTATTTACTATTTCTTTTTGAAACACTATTCACATCATCAGCAATGAGAATTGCTTTTCCATTTGAATCAATGAGGGCATATTATTAATGTTAAGTGGGAAGAGAATGGGGCTTAAAATCTATCCTAGTGGGACCCTGGGTGCAATTGGCAACGAATTGGAAAGGTGAGTAAATAACGTTCCTTCATTCCAGTATGATATTTTTACACTCTGAAGTTGTGGTTTAAGGGATGAACATAACCAATCTAGAACAATTCCACAAATTCCATGCATAGGTAATTTTGAAAGTAAAAGGTTATGATCAATGACATCAAATGCTTTTGAAAGATATAAAAATATTCCAATAGGTGGTTTATTTTGATCCACTGATGCAGCAATGTTTCCAAGAAAATAAAATATGGCTGGTTCCATTGATTCTGATTTTCTAAATCCATGTTGAAATTCTGAAAATGCTTTGTTGTTTCTGAGAAAGGTTTTCATTCGTGAGTAGAAAATTATACAATACAGTTGCGGTAATTCGAGCATAACCAATCCAAGATGGCTTGATATGCACCAAGTCACCAAACGAGCAGTGATAATCAAGAGCTGGATCTTGATAGATTGGTAACACTGCGGAGGAGGTTACATGTGCGACGGTCAGTGCCAGTGCCAGAGCCACTGTCAGTCAGTCTAACACTTTGTTGATACTGGTTCTCGCTCTCGCTATGTACGGGTATGTATCCATAATTTTAATAGTACCTACACATTAAATTTGACTTTGTTACACATTGAAACTGAAAATTCAATTGTGCATTTTCCTCTTTCCCATATTATCCAAGGTACCACCACCACCACCACCACCACCACTTATTACCTTGCATTACCACGACTTCACTGAAATATTTTTGAGAAGACTGACAAGATAAATTTGTCAGTAACTTTGAATTCCATTATTGGTGACTTTATTAAAGAGCGGCCTTATCTCCGCTGTTTTGAAAACACCTGAAAATATTCTTGTGCATAAGGATGCATTCAATGTGAGAATTAACGGATGTAGTATAATGGAAGGTGCACAAGTCTTTAACAAACAATTCTAAAATTGATCATTCCTGGTCGAATATTTATGCTTTAGTTTACTGATTATTTTTGAGAATCTCAAAGAAAGAAGTTTTGGAAACAAACATTTCCAATGGTACGAAACCAGGTATCTCCCAATGGTGGTAGGCCATTGGCACACGTGCCCAGGGGCACCACCCCAGTTGTGACAACCTCTAAGCTCCCGAGCTGTTTCCCGACATGTGTGGTAGTGTAGTGCATGTTAGTGTGTGTGCAAGGGGCAAGGACGGAAGAGAGAAAAGAAGAGAAAAAGATACTGCGAGGTCCATGGCCAGATTGTTTGGGTATTGCTCCGTTATTCGCCTGGTGTTGACCGGAGAAACCACAAAAAAAAAAAAAAAAACAATCAGATCAGCCGTCTCTAGAATTCTCCTCCAGACAGCGACTGAATTCGATCTAGTTGACAAGCCATTGTTGGGACTCGAACCTAGGATCCTGAGTCAGAGGCACTGCAGTGACATCAGTTGAGCACTAAGCCATCTCTCCCGGTTATAATGATTTGTATTTTTGGAAATAAAGATGAGAATTATGACATTGTTATGCAGGGGCGAATCCAAAGACGAATGAATGCATGTATATATGTATATACAGAAAAAATAAAGACAATATAAATTATAAACAAGGTAAATTATTTATATTTCTTAACAAAATATTAAGTTTAATATTTAATGAATACTTTATGGTATTAAATTAATTTTTTAATTTAAAAAATATATTTGTTATTAAAATGGTTGAATTGAAAGCTGCAAAACGACAAAGCATTAGGGTATTATATTTTTCATTCTATGATACAGATGTGAACAGACAGAATTTAAATAAAAACATATCAATCGACAAATTTAACATTTGCTAACATAAAAACCTTACTGTCCAGGACTGAAGAAAGTCGACAGGATTTCACAAAATATATCTCAAGCATGTGCTACGTTTTCTTTTTATTAGATTTCTTTGTCTTTTCTTCTTATTCTTTCAGATATTTTCTTTCTCTTCTTAAGTACCAATTATCACGCTTTCTCCCGGCGCATGTGAACGATCCATGCCCTATTCTTTTGTTTCGGACACAGTAATTGCGCGAAATGTCACAGCGTCCCACGATCGCCCAGTTGGCACCTAGAGACCTTCCTTCAAGTGTTTCCGGTTGCGTCGCCTACACTCCAATACGTGGAAGTCTCCGTGGTACCGCTTGTCGCGGAGTACGAAAAAGATATGAGCTGTGATGCACCTCCGGAGAACAGTCCAAAACATTTTCCATACGTACCACTGGGCTACAATAAACAAGAATCAGGATGCCCATTCGTAACTAAAAGACTAAGGACAGAACGCGGAGTTACTTTATCGATACATTTTGCACGTTTCTACATTTTTTGTTTCTGATTTAATTTTTTTCTGAACTTATACGCTTATACCATTTTAATATCTCTCTCTAGAAGTGGGGGACGGGCAGCCCTCCCCCCTCGATCCGCCACTGCGGTTACATCAGTAACATATCCAATAATCGCATCTGAATTTGTTTTGATAAAAAACGTAATTTTTATTGCCTTTTAGGGCATTTAAAAATATTTCATTGCATTTAAAAAGTATTTTACTGATCTTATTTGGCGCTCCGTCCCCTAGAAATTATATTTCTCCATCCTAGTGTGATCTGTAAATTAAGATAATTTTTTATTCAAAAGGTGTTGGTTGAATGTGTCGTATTGCATATTATCTAGAATGACGCAGGCTTAACTGAGCTCTTGCTGATTGTATTCGTTTTAAGTATTTCGACGCGCTGAATCCGAATCTGAAGCCAGAATTGCGCCACCCCATTCCATTTCTTTAATCGCAAAAAATCATCTTACAACCCCCCCCCCCCGAGGGGTTGTTGTCAGACCCAAAACCTTGACACATGTGTCTCTATGTATATCGATGCGCCGAATCCGAATCTGGATCCAGAATTACGCCACCATCCTCAGGACAGTTTTAACAGCATTGGGGGCCCGCTATTCTTACTTTCACCGATCTCCCGCAATTTCGATGCTGAAATATAAAGAAAATCCTATCAATTAATATTCTATTTTTTTTAAATATTTTGAAAGTATTTCTTAATGTTTTAATATAACACACTAAGTAAGAATATGCTGGGGAAAAGTTCGAAATAAAATAATTTTGTGAAAAACGTGTTCAAGCAATAGTGCTTTTTGCAAAGTGCTGAAGTCACTGCTATCACTGTATTTTAGAAAACGAGTTCCTTTTTAAACGAATTCTATTACCGTCAATTGTCTCAATGCAGAACTAATAAAAAACGTAAAGGCCCAGTGGCAATAAAAGCCAGAAGCACGTGCGCAGAAGGTGTATATGCCTGACACTGACACACACAAATTATGAAATAAATGTTTAAATATAGACTTTTATTTAACTTAGTTTTAATTCATTTGCATGAATTGCTTACATTTTATTGTATACCAGTGTTCTGAATTCTGTAAATTACATTTCCGTCACTCGATGGAGGTACAACCTCCAGTCTGTTGGCGTACCAGCCGCCACTCTCTCCGAGATTCTCTCCGAGAGTTTGGTCGAGCACGTACGTACGTAACTACTGCGCCTTCGTGCCGAGCTACAGCGAGTACTTTCTTCTTGGCTCCTGTCTGGAAAATCACTTGACGTGAGATCCAACCTGAAGTAAACGAGGGAAACCGTCGAGGAATGTCTAACTACACGGCATAGGGTCCTGAAGAAACGCAGCCCTCAAAGTTCCAACTTCAAGCGCCGCCCAAACAACAACTCGGGGCAACTGCGTCCTACA